TAGAGTAGACTTCCTGCTCAGGAGCAGTTGGCTAACACAAATCATACTCTAGTTTTTAGTAGCTTTTTTCTTTCATTTTTGTCTTTAAGAGAAAGAAAGAATATGAATGGGGACAGAAATTAATATAAAAATATGCTGTATGAAATTCTCAAAAATATAAAAAAATTTAAACATCTTTGGAATGTAAATACATACAGTAATATAGTATTCATGAAATATATGAAGCTCAGAATGCTTTCAAAACCTTGGGACAAGGACTCACAAATCCTTAATTTAACCCTATCAATCAAAAAGCAACTATTTATTACTCCCCCCAGAACCAAGTTGCTAGGGCAGCCTTTTTAGTTTGCCTTTTTTTTTTAAACTTGCACACACATGTGAGTACCTGTGAAGGTCAAAAGACGTTGGCTCTTCCTGTTACAGGCAGTTGTGAGCCACTCAGGATGGGTGCTGGTTATCAAACCTGGGTACTCTGGAGGAACAGAAGAGTTGCCATCTCAACAACCCAAGCTCAGCCTTTTTGTTTTTTGAGACAGGGTTTCTCTGTGTAGCTTTAGAGCCTGTCCAGGCACTCACTCTGTAGACCTCGAACTCACAGAGATCTGCCAGTCTCTGCCTCCTGAGTGCTGGGATTAAAGGCATGCGCCGCCACAGCCTCTTCAAGCAGCTTCTTCCTGTGTTTCTACTGGAGTCCGTTTCAGGTACAATTATAAGATCGTACAAAACACCTGTTCTTTCTTTTTACAAAACTGATAAGACATCCAAGATGGAGGTGGTTGTTCCGACTCCAGTCCTACTCCAAGCACGCACATGCTGAGGCTCACCATTCCTGCTCCAGGCACCGGAACACAAGTGCACAAACACACACACAGCCAAGCACACATATGAATAATTAGAACGAATAAAGGTGGCCCCCAATTAAAAAAAAAAAAAAAAAAAAAAAAAAGAAGACTTCCAAGGTAAAATGGTGAATTAGAAGTCTCCTCAGTGTGACTGAGTAAGAAAAAACCAGTCTGAGAAAAGGGAGGGAACAATCAAGAAAAAGCCATCTGCAAAGCATGGAGAATAGAATGGGCATGGACAGTGTATTAAAAAAAAAAAAAAAAAAAAAAAAAAGCCA